TTAGGAAGGCTAAGTGAGTACATAACCTTAATGGGCCTAAAGCTCATTTCGAATTGGGCTAATTTAAGCAGTTAAATTAAAAGGGCGAATTATGAGATTGGATTAGCAGATAGGATTGGGTCTTAACCCTATCCACTCAGAGAGTCTAGATCTGAATGTGATTCAGATCTGGAAACCTCATAATGAGATTAGGAGAAGGATGATCCAATCTGTAGATAAAATAAGGGTTTACCCTTATCACTTAAAGGGAAGTCTAATCCAAATATGATTTGGATCAACAACTCCTAAAAGGAGGAGGGGGCGGCAGCCTTTAGACATGACAACAACATCACTACAAGTCTTTAGAGCTGAAATCACAGAAGAGAGAATTCAACATACCTGCAAAGTAGATCCCAAAACTAAACTTTTGCAAGAGTTGCAGTTTACAAGACTCAAGGTGAGAAGCAAAGGGATCCATTCCATTCCTCACACTTTTCAGGTGTTAGACAATGACATTTGGTTCTTTGTGGTGGTCAAGGTGGAGAAAATGATCAAGTCTGTTGAGTCAACTTGCTACAACGATTTTTAGGCACATGGCATAAGGCGAGAGCTGTCAATTTTCCATTTGCTAACCAATGAATTTTGTGTGAGAAGCAAGTTTTAGAATCGAAGATGCAAAAAGTTTCTTCAAAGATGTCCCTTAATAGCAAGTTGGAGAAAATGCACGCGGTTCAAAGCTCTTCTAAAGGGCCTCCTTTCAATAGACACTAACTGTGGTCTATCTTCTTCCTCAAGCCCTACAAATCAGGTTTCAGCCTCAACCCAGAATAGGAGCTCTTTACAGTGGATCTCGTTCAAGAAGCTACAGAATCTCTCATCTGATCGTTGCAATCCCCGAAGTGTCAAACACATTCAGTTAGAAATGGAGGAGGAAGACAACTCCAAGGAGGAGGATTTTTCTTCAGAGTCTAACACAGACGATACAGTCAACCTTGGTAGTGTGGATTTGTAGTTGTCAAGGTCGATCTTAGAGGATGAAAGCTTTCACACAGACTTGCTTTTCTTAGAAGATGATGCCTTGGGCCCATCAGAAGATGTCCAGGAGGAAGTTTTGCAAACTCTTAGGTCACCAAAATTGGCGGTAAATCCAGCATAGCCTACAAAGGAAACAGAGGGGGCACTTAACCCAGAGCCTATTCCCTTTTCAACAGAGCAACACACTCTCTTCATCGAATCAGAGGAACATGAATCTTTTTGTTCACAGAACATAGATTTAGCGGTTGGGGGACAAAATGCTAAGGTGGATTTGGATGTTACAGTTAACACAACTTTAATAGAACCAAATTCACTTCCACTTTCTCGTCAGACACAAGGTTTGGCGGCAGCCCCCGATTACCTTTCTAGGACTTTAGAACCTTCATCCTCGCTCCATACTGGTATAGGTATGTCTGTTCATTTGGTTTTTGATACTGATGTTGGTTCTGTGCTTGAAACAAGTATCTCAGCTTCTCAACTGGAAAGAAGAACTTTTAGAGGGGAAGGTTTGGGCATAGTTAATGGTTGTGTTGAAAAGGAGAGAGAGCTTCAGTTGAGAAAAAAAAAGAGGAGTTAGAGAGAATCTGGAATCTAATATGTGCTCTTCTTGAGGAATACACGCAAAGGGAGGGGTTGGGTGTGGTTTCTGAGAATGTTGACAAAAATTGTGAAAAGGAGGGGGGAGAGCTACTCTTGAAAAAATTGCAGGAGGAAGAATTAGAGAGGATTTGGGGGCAAACCTATGAACTATTGGAGGAGTATAAGATCACATAGGATTATTTGGAGGAAAAGACATATGAGAATGGGAACCCAAAAAATGTCCAAGCACCTGGGGAGTGGGAAATAACAGAAAGAAAAAGAAAAGAATTGAGGTAGATAGGCTGATTTCAGATATAGAAGGGGACATTGAGTTTTGTGGCAGAAGGGGAAGAAGAAAGACTCCCAAGTAGGAACCTTTAACCTTAGTTGGGCTCTAAAATTTTGTTTCCCATGAAAATCATTAGTTGGAATGTGAGGGGCTTAGGGGGCGCAAGGAAAAGGAGGTTAATTAAAGACCTGCTCAGAAGGAATATGCTTGATATAGTGATGCTACAGGAGATCAAATTAGTCGAATTTGACAAAAGATGGGCTAGAAGTGTGTGGAAGTCAAGAGGAATAAGTTGGGCCTTTGCACCCTCTTGGGGGGCTTCAGGGGGTATTGTCACATTGTGGAGAGAGGATGTTGTAGAGGTAGAGGAGGAATTAATAGGAAACTTTTCGGTGTCTATAAAGTTCAAGTCGGTGAACGATGGTTTCGTTTGGGTGTTGACCAATGTGTATGGCCTTAATATCCATAGAGAGAGGAATGATTTTTGGGAAGAGTTGAGGGATGAGGAATCGGTTTCTGCCTCTGAGCTCTTACTTTTACTTGATTCTGTTTGTTTGGACCCTACTAAACTAGATAGAAGAATTTGGTCTTTGACCTCGAGTGGCTCSTTCTCTTGTTCTTCCTTCTTTAAGTCCCTTTGCTCTACTCCTTCCCCTTTGTTGTTCCCAGTTAAAGAAGTCTGGTCAAGGCCAATTCCACCTAAAATTGCTAGCTTTTGTTGGGAAGTGTATTATGGTAAAATTAATACTGTGGACAATGTACAAAAAAAGAGACCTTATTCATGCTTGTCTCCGAAGTGGTGCATTTTATGTAAAGTGCAGAATGAGAACTGTTATCACCTACTGATTTCTTGCTCTTTTATAGTAAAAATTTGGAATTGGGTTTTTATGCTGTTTGGGTACAAGTGGAACCTGCCTCCTGAAGTAAATCTGCTTTTTTATTCGTCTTTTTTTGGTTGGCCAACAAAGAGAGGGAAAGTAATGTGGAAATGTATTAGGGCAGCCCTCTTATGGGCCATTTGGGAGGAAAGAAATGCCAGAATTTTTCCAGGAGAAGGAGAGAAGCATTGCTGAAATAAAGGATTGCATGCTGACAAGGGCAATCCTTTGGCTAAAAACTACTGATCACTTTGCGGATTACTCTAATGATAACCTTCGAAGGAGTTGAGCAGCAGTGGCCTCCACATCATCCAAGAAAAATAGAATACAAGCAAGTTGGTTACCCACTCCGGAAGGAGTTGTGAAGTTGAACTGTGATGGGAACAGTCAAGGCAATCCAGGACCTTCTAGTATAGGAGGGATCTTGAGGAATAAGGATGGCAACATTCTGTCCTTATTCTCAAGTCCAGTGGGTTATGGAGCCTCTACAAGGGCTGAGATATTAGCTGTGGTACAAGGACTACAGATTTCCAACCAACTTGGAGTGACTAATTTCATAGTTGAAGGAGACTCTAAGGTGATGGTGGGATGGATGTCGGACCCAGAAATTGTTGTTTGGGGATATAGGGACATCATCAAAAAAGTCAAATGGCTTACAAGCACCATGTAGTTAGCTTTCAATGGGTTAGTATATCGGCAAATGCTTTGGCAGGAGAGGATTTGGTGCTCTTCTAAAGAAGAAGAAGGAAATTGGCTTCAAATTTAAAAAGTTCACACATGTAAGGAAAAAGCCCAAAATGTTTCAGGTTTTGTAAAGGGTCAAACCTCTAAGGCACTGGTGCTGGGAATCTCTAATACAAGTTTCCCACACAGGAGAGGATTTGGTGCTCTCACATTCCTCCTAGCCTAGAGTTTCCTTTTTTGTGTGGGAAGATTGTTTGAAAAAAATCAACAATTGTGACCTGGTCCAGAAGAAGAACAAAGGCAGACTGTATATCTCTCCCCATGTTTGCTCTCTTTGTCATGTGGATGGTGAATCTGCTGAACATCTCCTTCTTCACTGCTCAGAAACATGGAAGATTTGGTCCTACTTTCTCAACCTTATTGGGTACAGCTAGGTTGTCCCTGAACACATTATTGATTTCATTTGGCAATGGTGTGGTACTGGTCTTGGTAGTAGGGGGGAAACTACTGGTGTATGATATCCCAAGCAGTGATGTGGTGTGTATGGGAAGAAAGAAACAATCACCTGTTGAAAACAGATCTAGATCTTTTGAAGATTTGCCTTCTCATATCTCTTTCTTGGGCAATCTGTGGAGTTCAAGGGATTTTCTTTGAACGATTTGCAAAGGAACTTGGTGGAAATCCTTTATTCTTCACCTGGATCTTTATCAGATCTAGTGCTTCCTTTACAAGTTTGGAGTTAGATTAAATTTTGATGGCAATGCCCCAGGTAACCCTAGAGCTGCGGGTATAGGTGGAGTGTTTAGTAGAAGGGACAGAAGCATTGAGTGGGCTTTCAGTTACCCAATTGGGGTTGCTGGTTCTACAAAAAAAACAGAAATCTTGGCTGCACTCACAGGTCTTTGAATAGCAAAAGATAAAGGCTGGTCTGCTCTAACCGTTGAAGGTGATTCTGCAAATACTGTAAAATGGTTAGGGGAGAAGGATGGAGGCCCTTATTTAGCCCTTGGCGGCCAGAGATATTTTGGACACCTCGGTTGTAAATCTAGCATGGGTTCCCAGAGAGTTAACTCAACAGCTGATGGTTTGGATAAATCAGGCTTTAGTCTAAAATCAGTATAGTGAAAGGTTTCTGCCTATGTAATTTCTGAGTGTTGGTCCTTCCCTGCAGATTTTGCATCTTCTCATGTACTCTTTGTTTTTATAATATAATCAGTTACCTTTTTGTCAAAAAAATGATGATCCTCATATTGGCCTGTTGTTGTCATGTAGTTCGGAAGTTAAAAGATCTCTTTAGTGCAATTTTTTGGTTACCCATTCAAGATTTTTCCTGTGTATGTAGTTCTATTTATCAGTTGAGGTGGATTTTGTGCAGCTGAGTAACAATCTTGTTTAATTTATTTACTTTCTTCCTGAGTTATTACTTTATTATTTATAGTGACTTCAGATGAGATGATTTTTATGTTTTTTTTTTTCAGAAAGTTCTCATACAACCATCTTGCTCAAATAAAATACATTCTTCCGGAAGCTGTTCAGGTTGAGAAGATTCTTGTACATGATGAGAAGACCTTTTGCATGAAGCCAGATATGAAAGTCAGACTACTACTGGATATTGTAGAAGCTCATCCAGACCAATCTCCATTCGTGGCACTGCGCCAACTCTTCCGTGCTAGGCTCTTAGATTTCTTTTACACCCATCCCAAGGTACTGCTTTTTGTTTATCCTATGTATCTACTCGGTACTGTGAAGTGTTTGGGACCATTTTGAAGTCACAAGGAGTGGATTCTTCAAATTAACATTAGGTGAAGAGGGTGGGGGAGCAAATAATGTTTTTTTTTTTTAATTTATTTTAAATATTTGAATTGTATAATGGGGCAGTCCTAATGGGCAGAAGCTCATAGCATAGATGGTGCAGTATGAAAGTTAGCACTTGGACCAGATATTGGTACAATCAAATGCTCCTTGACATGCTTGTGAATATTCCTTGTTATGTTATTTGTTATACTTGCTTGGGCCTTGATGCAGATATTTTCATTTTTGACTGAAAAATCAGTTCTATCTTGGCCAAAGCAAATTCTTTGACTAGTGATTAGATCTACAAATGGAATATTAGGATGCTTATTATGCATGATTCTATTGGATGAGAAAATGAGAGCTTCGACTCGGAGGGCACCATCTAGAGGATCTCCCCTAGGGATGGCAATTTCTACCCTATACGGTGGGTACCCGCCCCTACCCTCCCCGACGGGGTGGTTTTTTTTTTGCTTAAATGGCGGGTACGAGTTTTCAGATTCTACAACCTGTACGGGTACGGGTAGGTTACGGTATTAGGCTAAACCCAACCCACATATCGTTGGAAAGCATATAAAGTTTATGTACTAGGTGTTGAATTTAATAATATTTTGAATTTTATGTTAACAATAATTGATAATTTATGTGTTTTTTACATGTCTTAATCAAATGATTAGAAATCTTGATTTTTATTTGTGTTATGTTACTTATTTATTGCTTATATATGACAAGAAATAATAGGAAATTAGATGCAGGTTTTAAACCCAACCCGCCCCTACCCTTGAATGTGGGGAGGGTTTTGCACTTTCATGTGCAGGTAGGGTTTGGATTCTCGAAATCCAACCCACTGCGGGTTTTGGGGCGTGTGCAGGTTGGGAGGTGGGTAGGGTCTAGAATTTACAAAACCCTCTCCGAACCCGCCCTGTTGCCATTGGATTGTGTGACTCATTGGATTAATATTTGTAAAGTTGGTTAAGGAATGGGCTGTCATCTAAACAACTGGTTGTTGATAATTATGATCATTCAATCAGAAATTGACTTCTAGAATCCCCTAGGCGTGATCAGTTAAAAATGATTGGTCCCTGTTCCTTTCATCTGTTTCATGTTAACTTAAGCTGTGTCAAATTTTTAACTAGAGGATCTTATAGGCATGACTGCATGAGCAGTCATCTGATTGGTTTTAAACCCCTGCATCAGTGTCATACTTCTTCTTTTTATAATTCTAGTTTATATTGTCTACCGTAATTGTATTTGTGTTTGTTCCTTTTTGGAATAAAATTATGATTGAATTGCTCCATGACATTTTGATTTGGGGTGCAGGGTTATGACATCCCAAAAGCCATGCTACCAGAACCATTTAACCAAGGAAACCACACTGTTATTCCACAAAAGTTGCCTATGGAATCACCCAAAAAATGTCATTCTCTTTCTGAGCTGGAGTTGCCATCAAGCTCAGCCCATTTGTCTTCCTCGTTCAGCAAGCACTTCTCTCAGAAGAATATTGCTCCAGAAGAAGAAACGACTCAATTGCTAGCACCCATATTTCCTCTATCATCTCTAATCTCTCATAATGAAAACAATCGATGTTTTGAACAAGATAAAGGATCTATTCCTTTAGCTTCCAAATCCTGTGGCATCAAGTCCAATGCCATGCTGATCTCAAGTCCTCAGTGTTCCTTAAATTCCAGTGCATGTGAAAGTCCTCTTGCAAAGCTCATCTCAGCTGTAGATTATTGGATGGTAGAAACACCTGTTCAAAAAACACCAAAGAGATTAATTCCTGATTCTGACAGCAAGATAAATGCTGATGGCAGAGAGACTCAGTCTTCAACTCATTCAGCTGCAAAGAGGTCCCTGAACTTCTCACCTCTAAAAGGTGATGGAAGTACTGGCCCTCAACCGGCAACAACAAATAGGGTTTTGTTTGAAGATGTCACAAGATCTTGCCATTCAGTTGCTCAAAAGGTACATCTTTTCTATTCAATTATGTCTGTTCTTGGTTTTATTTTAAAAATGTGATGGTGGATTTGTCTTTTCACATTTTATTTTGTTATATAGTGTTCCTTGAGTGTCTCTATGCACAAAGTTATTATTCATTTATCTTTAATAACGCAAAATTCTAGTGGCACTAAGATTCAAAATAGTAAAAATAATGAGATGATAGTTATGGATATTCTGTTATGTACTGTTGTGGCAGTTCTAAATTTCAAGATCATTTTATGTTGTTTATAAATATTAAATAAGAATGTTATTTTGTATCTTTTATTTCAGATTCTAAATAATTACACATGTTTTTATGTCATGTTGTGTCCAGCATTCGTTTTTGTTAATGTTGACTGTGTAGGGGTATTTTGGTCTTTATATTTATGTTTAAAGCTGCTGATGTGTAATGTTTTATTAGTGGTTGTGTCCCATACTTAAGTAGGGGCAAAGGAGTCCTTTTGTTTTTGAATAGAAACATATAAATTAAACCTGGTCGACTAGAGAGTAATTCTTCTCTCTTGTTTGAATCAGAATTCTTCTTCTCTATTCTCTTCTCTTCTTCTACTTCTTCTAGTCTTTCTATTACTTTTCCAATCCTTAGTTGGAGATAAGGAAAGGGGCTGAAAAGGAGTGATCGCCCTCTTCCCTTGGAGGTTTCTATGTCTCTGGTCAGCATGTTCGTGGGTGTTTGCAGTGGTTTGTAGGAAGCCCCCCTAATCGATGGAGAGAAGAGGGCTGATTCGAGTGATGCAGTGGAGTGTCGAGTGTAGCTTATTTTTTGGTGATTAGGTAAGTGATTTTGCGCATGTTTTTTTTTTCCAGTGTGAATCAAATGGTTGATGTGTTCCAAGTCGTGTGGTGAAAATTCAGGTTGTTGTGTGTTAGGGTTTGTGCAGATTTTAGTGTGGTTTGAAGGGTGTGTGAGTTTCGAGTAGTGTGGTGAGTTTTCAGGTAGTCGTGTAGTAGGGTTGTGGTGTGGAGAGTGAAGAATTCAGCAACAAGTGGTGTTGAGTGCAATGTGGTATAGTGTGCAGTGTGGTGAGAGGTGAAATAAGAATTTTTTTTTTCTTTTTTACAGCCATGGGAGACAACAATGAAAGTAAAACTAGTGTGATGGTTACCGCCGACTTCCTGAATGTTCAGATGACTTCTATCAAGTTTAATGGAGAAAACTATGTGCCTTGGGCAAAATCTGTAGAAGTCTTTCTTAAAGCAAAGAAGAAAGTGAAGCATATAAGGGAAGAAAAACCCTCTACTGAGTCTCATGAGTATGATGATTGGGAACAAGAAGATGCACAATTTATAACTTGGTTATGAAATAGTATGGAACCCAAGATTAGTATGAATTTCATGTTTCTTGATACAGGCAAGGAAGTTTGAGACCATGCTAAGAAACTATATTCGGGACAAGACAACACAACTAGAGTATATCGGTTTTATTAGGAATACTTTAATCTGCAATAGGGTAATCAGAGTTTTGAGGAGTACTATGCTAGCATGAGAAACCTTCGCAATGAGTTGAATGTGTACCACCCCCTCACCTCTGATGTTAAAATTCAGAAACTACAGAGGGAACAACTAGATGTGAGCAAATTTTTGGTAGGGCTGAAATCTGAATATGAACCAGTACAGGCACAGGTACTAGGAGGATTAGCTCTTGCTTCCTTAGAAGAGGTGTTTGCTCAGCTCGGAGGATTTCTATTGGATCTACCGAGAATTCTAGTATCTCTGATAGATCAGTCTTTGCAGTCTCAAGAGGCTGTGGTGTTAGAGGTGGAGCTCGGGGAGCTCAATCTGGCCATAGTAGTAGCAATGGACCAGTGTATGGTTGTAGTGGTGGTGGTGGAACAAAGTGATGTTGGGCACTGAGAGAGGGAGGAAAACACACCTGGAGCCTCCGATGACATGATTGGAACTCCAGGTGTGTTTTCCTCCCTCTCTCAGTGCCCAACATCACACTCTGTTACCCTTGCTAATAGTTCCACATCTTCCATTTGTGGTGTTGGTAATATTAACATAAACCCTTTATCTTTATCCTTAGTTTTGTATGTCCCCAAGTTTCCTTTTAAATTTATGTCTGTTAGTAAGTTGACCAAGTCTCTTAATTTCTCTATCACTTTTTACCATTCTTCGTGTGTTTTTCAGGATCTTAAGACGGGGATGAAGATTGGTGGACTGTATTACCTTGATGGTGGTGGAAGTACGTCAACAACTCTTCAGACATCTCTTTCTCTTCTCCAGTGGCACTGTCGATTTGGTCATCCATCACTTAGAGTTTTGAAGTCTCTTTTTTTGTCATTGAGTTGTCTTTCTGTTTTGGATTGTGAGTCATGTCAGTTGGGAAACATCATCGTGTTCCCTTTAGTCCTAGGGTTGATAATCGTATGTCGAGTCCTTTTTCTTTAGTTCATTCAGATGTTTGGGGTCCAAATAAAGTATTGTCATACAATGGTTATAGATACTTTGTTATTTTTGTTGATGATTATTCAAGGATGACGTGACTTTACTTAATGAAAGAAAGGAGTGAATTGTTTACTATTTTCCAAAAAATTTTATGCTGAAATTCACAACCAATTTGGTGTACAGATTAAAATTCTCCATTTCGATAATGGCCGTGAATACTTTTATACACCATTTCAGGAGTATTTGGAACATGGCATTATCCATCAGACTTCATGTACTTACACCCCACAACAAAATGGGGTAGTTGAGAGAAAGAACTGTCACCTTTTAGAAACTGCTCGGTCTCTTATGCATCATATGAATGTACCCAATCCCTTTTGGAGTGATGCTGTGTTTACATCTTGTTTTCTGATTAATTGGATGCCACATCCATCCTTGAAGGTCACTCTCCTTTCACCACTTTGTTTCCTACATTGTCTTCGTTTCCCCTTTCACCTCAGGTTTTTGGGTGTGTCTGTTTTGTTCATAATATAGGACTGGGAAGGGACAAGTTAGATGCATGATCCATTAAGTGTATTTTCCTTAGCTATTCCCGGACCTAGAAAGGGTATAAGTTTTATAATCCTAACTCTCGACGGTCCTTTGTGTGCGTTGATGTTACTTTCTTTGAGTCCACTCCGTTTTTCTTGTGGTCAGGTGATGTTTCTTCTTCCTTACCACCTCTTCCTCTTCCAGTTCCAGTTGTGGATCCCATTCCACTTGTTCCAGCTGTGACCAAGTCTTTGCCTTTGGTGCCACCTCTTGTTGAACGACCACCTATTCGTCAAGTGTATACACATTGCCAACATGTATCGACTCCTCCAGCTCCATCATCGTCGACAAATTCGATAGTTGTTCCCACACCAGCTCTAACCCCGTTTCTGAACTTGATCTTCCCATTGCCTTGCAGAAAGGTAAATGCAATTGCACTCTTCATCCTATTTCTAATTATGTTTCTCTCACTCACCTTTTTGCTTCCCATCGCCAGTTTATCTCTTTGTTATCCTCTATTGTTGTACCCACGGATGTTCAGGAAGCCCTTGCCTCTCCAGGGTGGCGCCATGCAATGGAAGAAGAACTCTCTGCCTTAACTTATAATCATACGTGGGACCTCACCACACTTCCTCCTAGTAAGCAAATTGTTGGTTGTAAGAGGGTATATACTGTTAAGTATTTACCTGATGGTAGTGTAGAGCGGTTAAAAGCTAGACTGGTTGCCAAAGGGTATTCCCAAACATATGGTATTGACTACACAAAGACCTCTCCTTTTGTTAAGATTGGTTTAGTTCGTGTTGTGATATCTCTAGATGCTATGTATGATTGGCCTCTCTTTCAGCTTGACATCAAGAATGCTTTCTTACATGGTGATCTACTTGAGCAAGTCTATATGGAGCAACCACCGGGGTTTGTTGCTCAAGGGGAGGATCGTAAGGTGCAGACTAAAGAAGGCCATTTATGGACTTAAACAGTCTCCCCCTACGTGGTTTGGTAGGTTCAGTGAGGTGGTAAATAAGTTTGGTATAAATAGTGTTAGGTTGACCACTCAGTCTTCAATCATGACTCTCAGGCTGGAAAGATCTTATTGGTGGTATATGTAGATGATATTGTCATTACTGGGAGTGATAGATTGGGAATTGATAGGTTGAAGATCTTTCTGCAGAAACACTTTCAGACAAAGGACCTTGGTAAACTAAAGTACTTCTTGTGGATAGAAGTAGCAAGGTTTAAGCATGGTGTTAATTTGTGCCAGAGGAAATGTGTTCTTGATTTGTTGGAAGAAATAGGGTTATTAAGCGCCAAACCAGCTGAAACACCTATGGAATCAAATACTAAGCTGAGCAGTGATATGGGTGAAGAGTTTGAAGATCCTAAAAGGTACAAGCGATTGGTGGGTAAACTAAACTACCTAACCATTACTCGGCCAGATATTTCATTTGCAGTTAGTGTGGTGAGTCAGTTCATGCAAAAACCTTGGGTTCCACATTGAGATGTAGTTCTAAGGATTGTAAGGTATTTAAAGGGGGCTCCTGGTCGTGGCTTGATATATAAGTGGAGGAAAACTTGAAATAGAGGGATATATTGATGTTGATTGGGTTGGCTCTATATTTCACAGGAGATCCACTATAGGCTATTCTACTTTCCTTGGGGTAATCTGGTGACATGGAAAAGTAAGAAACAAACAGTTGTGGCAAAAAGTAGTGCAGAGGCAGAATATAGAGCTATGACACATACTACTTGTGAATTAGTGTGGCTGAGAAACCTTCTACAGGAGATGGGATATTCCATTGACACTCCAATGAAGCTCTATTGTGACAATCAGGCTGCGTTCCACATTCTAATCCGGTGTTTCATGAGAGAACCAAGCATATAGAAGTTGACTGTCACTTTATGAGAGAGAAGGTGCCGAGTGGAGGATAGATATTGCACATGTTAACATAGGAAACCAATGGGCAGGCTTGTTCACCAAAGGGTTGAGTTGGTGATGAGGCAAGAAAAAACAGAAAAAAAAGAAATGTGTGTATATATTATGTTTTGCATGT